CAATGACAATAAATCTAAAAACTGCTTAGAAAAATATCCTCGAAAAATTAATAGTTAAAACTGGCATAAGTTACTCATAATAAAATTGAAATAATAATAAACTATAATAATAAATTGTGCTGATGAATTAGACTAAATTTAAGTGAGGCGCCAGGATTGCGGTGGATTTAGCACCAAACTCCCAACTATATTATTATAACACTAATAACACTTACATAAAAAGTAAAAATAATAAAACAATATTTGTTAATATATGCTATATTTTTTATATATAAGCCTTAGTCTGATACTTGATAAAAATGGACAAGGTCATTATTTGGCATTGTACAATAAAATATTTTGGTTGAATCATATGGAGGGATGGTTCCGTCACCAAGCAAACAGGATGTTTTTTAATAAAATCTAGTTTTGTGACGACTGATTCAATAACAAAAGGCAAAATAACATAATCTTCCAATTTAACTGTTGTTTACCATCTTCTTCAAGTTTATCATCACACGACATACTCGTTGAAACAGCAACAACTGCAACCACGGCTGTTTCAGAGTGGACATACGGCTTCTTGTTATTTTTTGAAAATAATTACTTAGGGGGTGTTACTAAAACTTTCATAACTTTTGAAATATTAAAGATAAATACGTTCTGTAAAAGGAATATGAACACTGACTAAATGTTTTATATTTTATTATTCAATATAATAATCCAAGGCTGCTCCGATTTTTAAATAAGCGCGCAAAATGATGAACTTGGCAGAATTTCAAAATTTTAAAGGTACTTTTTAGCAAAAATAATCGGAAAAATTATATTTCTGTTGACTAATATGTAATATAAACATAGTTAGACCATTTATAAAACATATTAACATTATTTACACTGAATGCAAACTGATACAGGCACTACAATAGACGAAATAAAAAAATCACAAAAATTTTTTTTTTTTTAGCCACGAGAGAAAAAACCCGCCAAAGTTTGTTTTATTTATACACTAAAATTTGTCTCGCTAAAAAAGCTGTTTTAATAATTTTTATTTAATAGTGAATTGGGAAGTAACGCATTTAAAGTTACGTCATTACTTTAAAATGTAAACAAAAATTTTTCGCATGTAACTACAAATTTTGTTGCTAAAAGCAACAAGCTTTGTCAAGGTTGAAAACCTTTTAGTAAGAAGTACAGAAAGTAATTTTTTTGATTTTCATATGCATAAAGGGTTGTAATTTCAATATTTTGGTGAACTTGGGAAAAATATAACGTTTTTCATATAAAACAAGTAATAACAAAAATATAAAAGCTAAAAAATCTAACTTAAATTTTTTTTTTTATCCATGTTCACCAAAAATCCGATAAAATAGACATTCGTTTATAAGTATGTAAAATTTCAATCATAAAGCATGTAGCTTAAAATATCTAATCTTGATTGGCCCAAGACAGGTTTTCATTAAAATACGCAAAAAACAGAAAAGTGATCCCAAATCATTAGCAAAATTTTTACAACTTTAATTTTTATTCCGTTTAATCAGAATACTTATTTAACAAGGAAAGATAGATGTTTCATTTTTTTTTTATTAGAACACAAAAGCGTTTATAGAAAAAAAAAACCACTACTTTAAAGTTATTGAATTTTTATACGAAATTTTCAAAAAACTCTTTATGCGGAAATTGTTTTTGCTAAACTCGTGACGTAATGCCCATATTTACATTGCGTGAAACAGCCGTGCAACAATAACACAATCGCAAGTGATGTCAGATGACTCTCCTGCATATTTCAAAATCTGTTGTGTTATAGAAATCTCACTATAAGAGCATAATGTATTAGTTGTTTCACTTTTAAATTGACTCTGACCGCCTGCAATACTCTCACATTGTGACAACATAGGTGCTTCTACGAATCTTCTGCGAATACCTGTTTTATCTGCTTGGGATCATGTCCGACAGTAGATAACAGTTTAACCCTTTAAAAGTCTCGTGTATTTTTTAAAAAACGGTCGCTATTAGTCCAGCTTTTTTTTTCGAACTGGTCTCTAAATGTCCCGTGTTTTTAAAGTCATCGTGTTATTTTACTAATAGAATAAAAAAAGTTTTTTTTACTATTTTTAATATTATTAAACACTACAAAACGTCATTATTTAAGTTTAAGAATATATACAGAAACATACTACAGAAACACAAAATTATAATAATGTATTCACTAATATTCAATTTTTGTATGACAATTAGAAAGGTATTGAGCTGCACAAAGTCTTACATTACACTCTAAACATTCATATCTTGAATCTTTTTGAATTATGTATTTTGTTTCATACCGCACATCTTCTTTGAACATTAACCTTTTATTAATCATTTTCAATAATCATTCATCAAATATATCTTTTCATTATTAATTCATCAAATGTATAATTTTTAGTGAGTATGTATTTTTAGTGAGTATGTATTTACATTTTGGTAATTATTTTTGAACTGAAAGAACTTCCTTATTTGTCATATTTAAAATTAAGGTAAACACGTGTAAAAGTGAATTATTGAAACAAAAGCTCTTTAATTATGTAGTAATAAATATTGTGACAAGTCGACTTATAATTACTGATGAACAAAAAGAAAATATAAGGAGATGCAAAAACCGTAGTATTAACGCATGGACATTTAGAAACCACTTTTAGTTTGCGTAATATTACGGCATAGACTTTTAACGGGTTAAACACTGTAAAAAATTCATCAGTATTACAATTTTTGTCTTTTTGTTTTTTTGTTATTTAGATGCCCCAAGAAGACCTAACGGTCATGTCACAGACCACCGCGGAAGTGCGTTTAACCAGGAAGTTCACGCCTCCTTCCTTACCGTGACGTGAAAATATGTCCAAAGCTCGTTTTAAACCTGGATCTCCAGCTTATAAAGCAAGTTCTCTAACCACTGCGCCACGGCCGCATTTCAGAACTTTTTATATATAGAAGGCATGACATTTAAAAATTCCAAATGCGTAACAGTATATTCCAAGAAAAAAAATAAACAATTAAAGTATATTAATAGCACTACTTCAAAATATAATTTCGAAGTCACCCACAATTAACATAAAAAAAAATAAAAAAATTTCAATGTAAAAGTAGTATATTTCTAAAGTCTAAAATTGAAAAAAAAAATCAATTTTTTGTTTTCGTGATATAACAGAGATAATAGCTTAAAAAAGAAATTTTAAGCGTATAA